TTTTTTTTTATTGGAACAGTCGATTGTATGTATCTGTGGGGTACAGCATTGAATATCAATACCTGTGTGCAATATGTGATGTTCAAATTGGGATAATTAGTATATTCAATATTATACAATGTAATTGATTTTCGTGGCCCTTTACCAATTCCTTCCCATCTCCTCTCCCCCACCCCCTTTTCTGCTTCTGGTAACCTCAGGTCTGTTCTCTTCTTTTGAAAGTTCAATGTATTATTGTAATAGTTTTATCTTTCTTTTTATCCAGCTTCTTTTAATGTTCACATCTTACACACTATGTAGTACAATTGAAATAACTAATAAATTAACATTGATACATTATCAACTAACTACAGACTTTATGCATATTTCACAAGTTTTGCCACCAATGTTCTTTTCCTGTGTCAGGATCTAATCCAGCGTCCCACACTGCATTGAGTTGTCAGGTCTCCTTAATCTTCTCTAATCTGTGATGGTTCCTCAGTCTTTCCCTGTCTTTCACAACCTTGAGATATTTGAAGACTATTGACCAGTTATTTGTTGTAAGGTGTCCTTCAGTTTGAATTTTTCTGATGTCTTCTCATGATTAGATTGAGATTATGTATTATCAGAAAGAATTACAGAGATGATATGCTCTTTTGAGTGGGTCATATCAGAGGGCACATAATGAAGATCTGTCTTATTACTGATGACATTAACCTTAAAAATTTGGTTACAGTTGTATTTTTCAAATTTTTCCACTATAAAGTTACTATTTTGTTAAATTAATAAATATTTATTTGGGGTAAGGAGATGTTTTGAGACTATGCAAATATCCTGTTTCTTTTTAAACTTTCACATACTAATTTTAGCATCCATTAGTGAATGTTGCTTGCAGAAATTATTACCGTGGTGTTCTAACAGTGATTTTCTATTTCTCTGGTAACTTCTACATTTATTAATTGGAATTATTCTATAAGGAAGAGTATCTCTTCTACCCTATTTATTTATTTACCCAGTTATTTATTCATGTCAATATAGGACCAGTTATATTTATCTTATTCTTTGCTTTTAATCCAATACTATTCTTATTTATTTACTTGCTCAGATGGCTTTGGCCATTGGTAGCTCTTTCAGGTTGGCTCCTGTGCCCATTTGACATGTCTCCATCCTCTCTGAGCACATTCTGACATTATAATTTGTAC